TAGACAAATACCAGATTCATACACATGCATACAAACCACACGCGCACACACACCAGATACACGCATGCAACATGCAGATAGGCTCTGCGCACACACAGGTGCACGCACCCACAACACACAAGTACACATCACCTACACACGTACCGCATCCATACACTGCTCGCCGCATATGTGCACACGCCCGCACACCTCCGTCCACGTGCTTCGAAGGGCCATGTGGTCCTAGGTCGTCGGCGTACTGGGATTTCTGACCGGGATTATACTTTCAGGCCGGTGTTTTTGTGCAGGAGTGAGGTTTTCCCCCTCGGTCCGATGGAAGGGGGAGTGAGCCTGTGGGGTTCAGCTCCTGGCACCCATGACAAGGCTAGTCCCGTTGGAGTGTCTGTGAGGAGTCAGGAGGTTGAGGTATTGTGGGGAGCAGGCAGCCCCTGGTGGTTCAGCTGCTTTATTTGTGGACGTGATCCATGGCGAACAGCTGCTGACACCTACCCCGAGGCTTATAAAATATTCAGGAAATTCCTCCCCGAAAGTCGACAGCACCACTTCCTGCTGGTCGGTGGTGCCGGTGATGCCGGTGATGCGCGTTTCCCACGGAGCCTCCGGGGGAGGAGGCACAGGTGACAGCAGCAGCTCAGGGTCACCCCAAGTCAGCCCAAGGGCCCCGCCCCCCGCCCAGCCGCCCCAGGGAAGGGCCGCTGGGGAGCGTGGACGCTGAAAGCATCGGAAGGAGCGCAGGGGTGTCACTGGAGAGGAACAGAAAGGTGGGAATGCCATGGGAGTTGAAATCGGGGGGCCCAAAGTAGGCAACAGAAGAGCCCCGCCTCCTGCCGGGCCCTTCTGAACGGCCAACCCTGAGTGGTAACAGCACTCCGGCCTCCGCACCGTGGCGTGTCCGTCGTGTTCTTTGGCAGCAGGCTGTCGTTCTGTCCGTCCGCACGGGTCTCGGCCGGTGCAGCATCTGTGATGCTTTGGTGCGACCCCCCCCCCCCCACTGTGATACTCCGCGTAGTGGATTGTCACGTTCTCGGCTCATTGTGTTTATGCCCTTCTCCCAACCCTGTCGTTGTGTTCCTGCAGCTGTGTGACCTGAGGGCCGCAGTTGTGGATACGTGTGAGGGGGATTTCAGGGTAAGCGGCCCCAGCCCGCCGGGCCCCGGCGCTTGCTCGGCTCTGCATGTGGCTCGGACCTCCTCCCCGCATGGCAGCTCCGCTCCGTGCCTCCCCCCACGCGGCCTCGGCGTCCGCGAGCTCCTCTGGCTTCCCCGGGGGGCGGGGGGGGGATCACTGGCCTTCTGGGAGCTGGCTGGCTTCGCGCTAGGAGATGGGGAGCAAGTCCGCAAGCAGGCTTCGCCGGCTCTCCCCTCCTCCTCTGGCTCTCGAGCACCCGGGTCAGCCCCGCGACCCCTCTCCCTTGGGCCTAGAACCGCAGGGCTCCCAGGTCCGCTCTTCCTTGGGTTGCCTGCCACAGACCTTGGTGCCCGGTGCCCCAGTCGCTGTGTACGCCTTGGCTCAGAGAGGTGTCCCCAGGAGGGTCCTGGGGCACAGCAGGCACAGCCTCTGCTGCGGGGTCGGGAGTGGCTTTTCTGTGGCCGTGGGGTGGTCCTGGCAGACCCCCACTTCCCGAGGTGGGCTCTAGCTTGTCTTCCTCGGGGCCGACACAGCGGGCGAGTCCTGAAGAATCCACAGTGGTAGGGTTCAGGCCGGGGCTTATGTCCCCCAGGGCCTCTGGCCGGCTGGCTCCTCGCTCACTATTGGGGGGGGCGGGGGGGGGGAGCATTATACCGCTTTCTGCCTCTCCTCTGCCCACAGCGGGCAGGTGTTCAAGATTAAAACCAAGGGACAAGCAGGAGAGAAGCCGGCGGAAATCAGGGGTTCTTGTCTGCTAAGCCCTAGGTCCTGTGGACACTTGGGGGCGGCAAGCACAACACAGGGGTGTCCCCTGCCTGCCCACCCACAGGTCTCATTCCAGACACTTCTGACCCTGGCAGTCGGTGGGGGCTTCTCTCCCTCGATCCTGCTCTCTGGTGACTGAGTTGCCTTCCCCGAGGGGTCTGAGGGAACATCCCCTTGGCTCCACGGGGAAGGTAAACCTGCCCGAGGCCACACTCCCCACATGACAGCCAGGAGATTTGAAATCCGAGCAGCAGAACGCTGCAGGGCAGGGGGCCCCAGCAGAAAGGGCAGGACACAGGCCGGCAGCTGTACCCCGAGGCTGGAGGAGTGTCACTGGCAGAGCCGAGCCTCGGACCCCCACCTCTGTGCTGAGGCGGCGGGATGAAGACAGGAATGACATTTTGAGGACTGGGGGGGGGGGGGGGGGGGGGAGACGATGACAGAAGGACTTTTTGTCCCACAGCTTCCATGTTTGTGTGTCTTTTAGCGCAGCGTCCAAATGTCTGTCTGTCTACCTGGTGTAATATGCTTAGGCTGAATGTTGGTTTTACAAAAAAATCCTCAAGACAAAGAAACCAGCCCACCCACCCCAGGCTGGCCCAGGGCTGCCCCCGTTCTGGGAACACCTCCCCTGTCATCCGGGCCCAGGGTGACGGCAAGGCTCAGTGGGGCCCGAAACGAGGCAGGCCAAGGAGGGGGTAACACTGTCCGGATCCTCGCTTCTGGGCCCACCGTGCTCCCCCAGGGTCCACAGGCTGAGCGTGCCGCCAACCCCTTGGGTGTCCTCGGTGGGCTCGCCTGCCCTGAGCTGCCTCCCCTGAGCTGCCTCCCCCCCGGGGAATGGAGCTGGGGGGTGCGCGGAGGCCGTGGCCCGGGAGCTGTTGCGGCGCTCCTCCTCGAGTCGCCCCCGGCCCGATGGGACTGGGTCGTGCGCGCTCACCGGGCCGGAGCAGAGCAGCCCAACCCCAACCCTACCGTGCGGCAGGCTGCCTCGGCCGGCCCCGGGGCCCGGCCACTACCACCTCCTGCGCCCGGCCGCCGCTCTCAGCCGCCTCTCTCTCTCTGCCGCCTTGCAGATCTCGTCCACTTTGACATCCCCTCCATCCACGTAGAGCTCGGGCCGCCGCTCCGCCTGAGCCCCCTGGAGCACGCGCGGCGACACTCGGTGACAGAGAAGAGGGACTCGGAGGAGGAGTCTGAGAGCACCGCCCTCTGACCCGCGCCCGCCCCGCCCCGCGTGTACATACCTGGGCCCCGCCCCAGAGCGCCCCTGGGCTTGCCGGGCGGGAGTTGTGCGGATCGCCCTCCCCTGTGCGTGCCCGACTTGGTTCGTTCCCTCGGGGTGGGGACTCTGGCCTTTTGTTTGATCTTTGCCTTTTGACTTTGTGCCTCTTTTGATCCACTTTCAGCCTCCATGCCAAGCGGCACCCCCTCCGCCCAAGGGCTTCCGTGTCAGAAAGGTCCTTTGCGGGTGCAGGCTGGGGGAGCCGTGCGCAGGAGGGTCAGGGTGCCTGGTTCCACTCGTGGCTACGGTGGGGGGGGGGCACACCCTCTCCCCTACAGCGCACGAGTTCTGGATTCTAGAAGGTCTGGCACTGACCTTTGCCTGCTGCACAAGTTGGGGAGGGGGCCAGCCCCTGTAAAAATCTTTCAGGCTGCCCTTACTGCGTGGGCTCCAAAGTCAATGGCTTCAAACACAATTTGTTTCACTTCCCCTAACGGTTTTACTTTTCCCGACCACGTGACTGAGAACTTCGGTCCCTACCTTCTTGTTTTGTACTTCTGAATTTGAAAAGGTGATCCTGAGGGTGTCTGGACGGCCCACCGAGCGCTCCCGCAGGCTCCCAGAGGCGCCCAGCTCAGCGCTCTGCTTGGGTGGGGGCCGGGAGCCTGCGTCTCCTCCCGGGTGGCCACAGGGACTAGCAATAAATGTTACCCAGAGCATGCGCAGGGCGGGAAGGTGGCCCGCGGGGACCCGAGGCCACCGGGCCTGCAGTGTGGCGGGCTTCGCTCAGCCACGGCTCACCCCCCGCCCCCTTTCCTCCTCCGGGGGTCCCATCCGTTCTCGGGGAGCCCAGTCACACTTCGGGATTGAAGGAGCAAGACACAGATTCGGGTCATGCATGCCAAGTCACACTTTCCGATTTTATCCTTTTAAAATAGATCTCATATACCTATACAGGATATAATATTTGTATATATGAAATCTATATTTGTTTAATTTGAGCCATTCAAACTAAACTAATGTATAGGTGTACAATGAGAAATTTAAAGGCCTAGTTATTTTTCCCGACAACAGTGTAAGATAACCCTGCCCCGCTGGTGGGATTCACCAACTTTGGATGTTTAACAGCTTTGCTCACTTCCTGGCAAGGACGGGTCCGTACCCAATTTGTAATGGAGCCCAGGGGTCGAGAGTTACCTTTAAATACATGTACAAATAGTTGTTGAAAGTAATGTTATTAAAATAGGTTTATTATCCCTGAGCGTGGCCTATCTTCTTGTGTTGGGGACACGCCTCGGTGCAGGTGACCCGTGGGAGGACATCGGAGGTCACGGCTGGGCCAGGCTCAAATGCTCGGTCGGTCTCTTCCAGATCGTCTGCGCTTTTAAAGATCTGTGTTCTCACAAATAAATACCAAATTAGTCGGAAAATTCTCTCCATTTCCGAGCACTGACCTCAGTGTTTGTTGTTAAAACCCAAAGGGAGGGCAGGAGAGCCGGCTTGACGCCCGATCTCTCCAACGCTCTGAGGGCAGTGAGGGCGTCTTGTTCTCGCCGTGGGGCAAGCACACCTGTGGTCACCCATTTCCCCTGCAACAGCGCGAAGACTTGCGTTTTCCTGAGCCGCTGCCCGGATCCTGCTGGCATGGCTTGACTCGGTTAAAAACTAGGCTACGGCGGGGTGGCGGCTCCCTGGGTCCCGGCTGCGATCAGAGCTGGCTTGCGGGTCACACCGGGTACCGGGTGGTGCAACTCTGCAGGGCAGGGAGGCGCCTGCTCCGAGGTGGCCCCGGGATGAAGCAGAGCTCTCAGGCTCCAAGCGGCCTCTTTATTTTATCTTCGCAAAGGCTATTCCTGGACTCCTGTCCACCACCCAGCGCTTGGGAACGTGGCTGGCCTCGGGCACGGGCAGGCCGGTTTCCCACGTGACTTCTTTAAAAATCAGTCTGTACCACATTCCAGTTGTCCCTCGTCTTCCATCCAGCAGCCTCACGTCCCGAGGCACTGGCTGTAGGAGGTGTCCAGCAGGGCCACCCCTGTGCGGGGGGCCCTGGCCAAGACCCAGGTGCACACCCCGCCCCCACACCTTGATGCCTCTCGGTCGAGCCGAGCCCTCCAGCTCCCACCAGGTCAGGGGAGCCCACACCGTGCCGTGCACAGAACGCCAGCCTTGCGAGTCCAGGGTCCCTCCCGCGCCCTCACTGGGCCCTGACCTTCTTGCTCTGGGGGTTCCGAGGCTGCTCTGTGAGGGCCCGTTTCTGCAGGCGCGTCCCATCCTCGGGGCCACCCGCCTGCTCCCTGGACAGCAGGGCCGTCCGCGCCAGCCGCACCTCCCGCTTCTCCCTGCGCTCCTCCATCTCCTCGATGTCGCCGGCAAACAGGGCTTTGAGCGGCGCGGTCAGCTTGGGCACTGTCGGGAGGTCCCCGAAGCTGACCTGGAAGGCGAGCCCAGAATCAGGACGTGCGTCCGGGGCCCGGCAGGAGCTGGACGGAGGGGGCCCTCTGCTCGCGGGGCAGGCGCCGGCTCCCTCTCGCCCACCTTCATGTCAGCTGACCATAGGGATGAGGCCAGGGAGGGAGGGAGGAGGCCCTCTCAAGAAAGGGGCACAGACTCCCCACTCCTGGCTTAGGAGGCCCCACTGAATGGGCCTCCGGAAAAGAGGCAGCCCAAGACTCCGAAAACCAGAGGCACACCCCGGCCCCCACCCTCATTCAGGGAGGCCGGAGGGGCGAGGCTGGCTTCCCCAGCGGGAGAGGGGAGCACACCTGTCTCCCCCAGTCACGGGGCTGGGGAAACGGCGTGGGCCGGAGTCCCCCCATCACTTCCAGCAGCCTGAGGACTCAAGTCTGTCCCGAAGGCCCTGGAGCAGGTGGGCCCGCCGGGGAGCATGGACAGACCCTCCTACCCTCGGCCCTGAGCACCGTACGTAGGGAGCACTGTCTCTGCCCCACCCCACCTCAGCCGGCCCGCGTGGCACAGACCTTCATGTGGTCAAAGGCAATCCCCACTTTCTCGTTGAAGTCGGGGCTGAAGAGCGGCACCTTGGCATAGCGCTGACTGAAGTGGTTCAGCATGGTGAACCCCGCGTTCATCCGCACCCCCACGCCAATCGCCTGGGAGGTAGTGCTGCCAACGGAGGGGCCACGTAAGGCTGATGCCCAAGTGCAGGGAAGACCCCAGCCCCCAGATTTCCCCCGTGCACCCCAGGAAGGCCACCTCTGTCGCCGACACCAACTCTCCTAAGGGCCAGATTCCTCGCTCACGCCCCTAGATGGAGCCCAGGCCGAGTGCTGGCGGGCACACCACCCATCTGTGAGGGCAGCAGAGAAGAGGCAGGTGGCTCCTCACTCGGGGGACACTCTTGTCCCAGCAAAGCCCAAGATCCGCCCCGGGCCCTCCATCCCCTGGCAGTTCCCTGCGTGGCTGACAGCTGATGTCCGCGTATCTGCAATACTCTGAGAAACCCGCCCCAGCTGGCCCCCTGCCCGGACAGCGCTGCAGCAGCAGATGCAGAAACCCCCACGGCCTCGCCGGGAAGCAGGCCGGCCGGCCTCGGGTCACCGGCACTGGAAAGCGCAGTGCGTCCCCGCGGGTCAGGGAGCGGGTGACCGCAGCTCAGGGCTCTCCCCTACCTGTGTGTCTTTTCCACGGCCTCCTCCTCCAGGCCGTCTTCCAGCGTGGCCTCGTGTATCAGGAGGGTGGCATCCTTCCCTAGAGGATAAGGAGCACGGCCAGTGGAGCAGAGTCCCCTGCCTGACAAGCGCTGAGCCCGGGGTCCTCGGCCCCTCCCTGGCCTGCTGCCTCTACTTACCCATCTGGACCAGGGCGTCACAGGGCATGGTGTCCCCGGAATAGACCACTTTCCAGCCGGACGTGTGGACCAGCGCGCAGCCGAAGGCATGCTTGCAGTGCCGGACCAGGCAGGTCTGAAACTGAAGCAGCAGGCGAGCGGCTGTGCAGCCGTGCCGTGCCCCGCCCCGCCCCGCGCCGCCGGCCTGCGGGCGCCCCCTTACCTCTGCCAGGTCACACGCTCCCCGCAGCGAAGCAATCAGCCTTTCAACCGCGGGGCTAGGGACCTCTGCTCCTTTCTGAAGGCACTTGGCGGGAATCAGGCTGTGAGGACACACAAGGGTTACACAGCAAACACGAAAAACGTGATTCAGAGTTCGAGCGTCTGGGGAACCCCAAACTCCTTCTCAGAGAGAAACACAAATCCGTCACCAAGAGAAAAGAGCAGACAGTTGAAAAGAGCAAACGCAAGCCCCCCTCCAGGCCGTGGCAAGGGATCCGCAAGACAGGAGAGGCCCGCCCTGTGGCAGCCGCCGCTCCAGGGTTTCGTGGAGAATCCCGAGACTAGATCAGAGCTGCAGAGGCGGGGAGCAGACGCAAACGAACGTGCACGGCGGCCGCTGGCCTCTGCCCTGGACAGGAAGCACTCCTTCCCACCGCCGCGCCCCAGGGCCCGGGGAAGGCACACCGGGGCGTGGCCGGCGGGGGCGTGGCCACAGTCGGGGCCAGGGCGTGGTCGGGGGCGGGGCCGGGGCGGGGCGGGGCGGGGCGGCGGCGGAGTTGGGGTCTGGATCGCCGTGCTGGCGCCCACCTCACGTGCTGCAGCAGCTGCTGGCACTGGTTGTGGTACAGCTGGAGCCAGGCCTTGAGCTGGGTCGGGGCGACCACCAGCAGCGGGGGACACGGCTTCCCCAGGGACGCCTGAGACAAGGACACCGGAGCCGCTCGAGTCAGCGACAAGAACGGTTCCGGGCGGCAGCAGCACGTTTTGCGAACGTGCAAAAACCACCAAACTCAAATGTCCGGAAGATTGAGGGCCACACTCACCAGAGCCCGTTCTCTCTGCAGCAGAATATTCAGCAAGCCCTGGGGGGCCGGGGGCGGGGTGGAGAAGGGGACACGCGTCAGCCACGGCCAAAGTCGGCTCTCTGCCCGGCGTCCGGGTTCGGGAGTCCTCCTCCCTCCCTATCAGCCGCCATCCC